GAGTTTATTTTATTGAATGATATTGTAGGTAATAACTGCGTGCAGTGTGGTGCGTCAATAATTTCTGGCGGGTCTGTATATTATTAATGGTTCAAAATGTTATACATGTACCGGTGATACAAGTATTAATATTAATTAATTAGTGTATTAAACACATAACAACAACCAATCTGGTCTGTATTTATCTTGGACACTTATCGTTGATCAGTCAGTCTTTCAAAATTGTAGTGAAAAGAGTTCAGTTTTTATTGCGTACCAAATTGTGTTTGGTAACATAAACTTACAATCGAATTTACTTTAATTATTTGTTTTAGGTGTGCCAAGAATTAAGCGTGGTGAGATATGGGTGTTTCTTATACAACAACATGCAGCAAGTAACAGTGCAGTGTTCAACCCACCTGTGAACAGATATGATGACTTATTAAAACAACTTACATCTCACCAGCATGCAATACTTATAGATTTAGGTGAGCACACATAATATAAAACAAATTGTTAACTTCTTCATGAATTGCTGTAGCTATAGTTATGACCTGATCTGATCTGACCCGTGATTAGAAAATCAAGTATTTGCACCAAATACAATCTTGTATGCTGATGAAATTAATTATTGATTTACAGGACGTACATTTCCAACCCATCCATATTTTGCAACCCAGCTGGGTCCTGGACAGCTGTCATTATTTAATTTACTGAAAGCCTATTCGTTGCTAGACAGTGAAGTAGGTTATTGTCAGGGGTTGAGTTTTGTAGCAGGAATACTTCTGATGCATGTGAGTATATGTTTTCACTTCACATTGTTACACAAAACTGATAAACGTCATGATATCTTTCTTTAATATCAACTTATGTGTTACGAGAGTATCACTCTATTAGAAGCTAGTCTCCAATTGTCTAATAAAAACAAAAACAAAAATCATTTATTAAATGCTGGATCTATAAAGTAAGACTTATCGTATTAAGCTATTTTGACCTTAGACTTGCCTCATTTACGCAAGTACATTCACTACCAGTAGAGGTAGTTTTTATTATTACTATAATTTCATAGACTGCTTATAATGGGTTTCATGGATAAAAACAGAAAAAAGTTATAGAAATGAACATGATGAGCCAGCAGCCTGCTTATTTGCATTGTTACTGTACAACATAATTACATTTTTTGTTTTCACTAGATGAAAGAGGAAGAAGCTTTTGAGATGTTGAAATATATGATGTTCCAACTCGGAATAAGACGTCAGTATAAACCTGACATGGTAGCATTACAGGTAAATTAATTTCACGTTGTTTGTTCGTTACAATTTGCCCTCTAACAGAAAGGATCAAAGTCAACGTCAATCTTGATGACTGCTGGAAAGATATGTCTTCAAGAAAACAAATAAAATTTTATGTAACTACATAGGTGACGTGAGGCACTAACAAAAATGTTGTGGCTCCTGATTTTCTTCGTTTTTACACTTATTAGTCCCCGTTCGGACGAAGTCCGAAAACGGGGACTTATAATTCGGTCTCCGTGCGTGCGTCCGTGTGTCCGTCCGTGCGTCCGTCCGGAGTCATATCTAAGAATCCCTTGGACCGATTCCGTTCATTCTTTGCATGTGCCTAGTACTTTATGTGGGACATAGGCACATGCAGTGGTTTAGCAATTCGATTCAAAATGGCCGACTTGCAGCCATCTTGTTTTTTGAAAATGTATTTTGGACATGCTTTGTCAGTTTTCATTCAAACTTGGTACATAGATTATACATGTTAGGATACATGTCCATGATGATTTATTTCACAATTGGATCAAAGATGGCCGACTGGCAGCCATCTTGTTTTTTGAAAATGTCGTATTTTGGACATGCTTTGTCAGTTTTCATTCAAATTTAGTACATAGATCATACATGTTAGGATACATGTCCCCAACCGTCCGTGAGTTCCTGAGTCTGTCCGTCCGACCGTCCGTGTGTCAGTCTGTCCGTGCGTCAGTCTATCCAACGTCATATTTCAGAATCCTGTGGACCGATTCTGTTCATTCTTTGCATGTGCCTAGTACCTTATGTGGGACATATGCACATGCAGTGGTTTAGCGATTCGATTCAAAATGGCCGACTGGCAGCCATCTTGTTTTTTGAAAATGTTGTATTTTGGACATGCTTTGTCAGTTGTCATTCAAACTTGGTACATAGATTATACATGTTAGGATACATGTCCATGACGATTTATTTTGCAATTGGATCAAAGATGGTCGACT